TTTCCACTTTGCTCCTCCGAGGAATTCCTTCCCGAACCCGGTGTTGGGGGAGGGGTGGTTGGAGGTTTGTTCTGTTTTGGGGGGGGGCTCCCTTTTGGAGATTTCCCCCTAATTTGTCCTAAACCAGGACAAGATGGAAGGGGACACAGCAGGATAGCTGACCCCAGCTGGCCACAGGGATATTCCATGATATTCCATTCTAGATAGTCTCATGCTGAGCATGTTAATTAGGGGAAAAGCTCTCCAGGAAGTTCCTGGGCATCTAGTGGTTGGTAGTTAGCATATGATTATTATTATCATTATCATCATCACTATCATTATCACCATTATTGTTACTATTATTTTTGTTAGGATTAGGATTAGTAGTATAATTTGTACTATTACTTTTACTGTTACTATTATTTAAGTTCAGTTACTTAACTGTTCTAGTCTCTATCCATGAGTTATCTGGGGATAAACCACACCACCTACTGAGATCAAGACTTTTGTCAACATCTTTGTCAAGGCTGCAATGAGCAGAGAACTCTATTTTTAAACACAGCTAGTTTCAGACCAAAACAGGTGGTTTTTTTTTTTCCTCTGAGTGCATCTTGTACTGGTGGTATTGAAAACTATTTGGTTTTCAACACAATTCAGAGTTGGTACACTGTGTTACTGTCTGTGTTCTTCATTCAGTGGGAACCAACAGGGGAGCAGAACTGTCAAAGGAAACCAGTTTGTCTGCTTGTGTCATAGATCACTGAAACTGCTTATCTATGCAGAGGCAGCTGGGTTTATCTCTGCAGATAAAGCTGGTAAGATACAATGTTGTCTAGTGTTCTCTTCCCTTCAATCAGACTCAAGTGGAGAAGTCTTGGTGTGTGAGCATGTTATTTCTTCGCTGTGCAGTGAATCTTCACTTCAGGTTCACTGGAGTACCTCCATGCTGTTTGCAGGAGTTGTGTGCAGTTTCAGGTCAGCCCTTTTTGTGTAGAATTTTGTATTTTTATTTTATTTCTTATTTTTATATTATTTGTCTGATGGTATCTCTGTGCATATTGAGGTGGAATTATGAAGTCGTTTTTCTTTTTTCCCTTTTTGACAATCTGTTTCCTTATGCTTGTGAAAGTATGTATATACATGCATATGTAAATACATATTATCACTTTCTCATTCTTTATTGAAGAAAAAGGTTATTTTATGGTCAAATCAATTAGGAATTTCTTCATATGAAATTGTTATCTGGCTGACTTCAACATAAAAGATAGTATAGTAATGTTTCTTAAATACATAGGGTTTCCATATGAAGGAGTATTAGGAATTTAATGAATATTTTCAGTAAATACATTCTGGAGTTACTTACTTCCTCATCTCCTAATAATAAAAGCAAATTTATCTAAGTTTTAAGAGAGGGTAGAGATCAGTCATTGTCTCCTTCCTATATTGCATCCTTTTAACACTATTGACACAAGAAGTTCTGCTGCTTCTCTGGGTAGTTCTTCACTTTGTGATAAAAATAGTGGGCTTCTGGGTGTTTGCTTAGCAGAAGTTCCTGTTTTCTTGTCTGACCATTGTCTCAAGAATCCTTAATACAACAGTAATAGCTGAGATTAGTGTCTTAGTTATCCAAATATGACATAGAAACTGATTTCAAAACCTGAATGAGGTTTTTCTGGCATGTCCTATGGAGTTCAGAGAAACAGTACCTCATTGGAACAGTAAACAGAACAGTACTCAGAAAACAATAGATGAGTTAAGATCCTCCACTGTGCCCAATCGAAGTTCTTCAGAACTCACCTCTACCAGAGGTAACTAGCTCTGGATGAATAGGCTATTTTATTCTCCATACCTTTATTCATTGTCTTCTCAGATAGATTTGTTACAGTGGATGCAGAAGATATAACGTGTATATTGCTGTTCTGCAAACAGAAATGAATTTCAGTCATTTTACTCAAGTTTCTTTGATGTGGGCAACTTACATTTAATTCCTGCTGCTTTAACTATGTGACTTTCTATTTCTGTACTGTATAATCATTCTATATTCAGAGCCAGTAGGTTGCAAATGCCTACTGGTTTAGGTTTGCAATATTTGTACTTGCCACAGCTTTCTTTTTTTTTATTTTTTCTAGAGGCATGAGGATATTTTAGAGGGATCAACTGGCACTGATTTTGTGTATCTAAGAGGTAATTCATCCACATTGAGCATTACTCCAACAGCATGACAGTGCTTATCTATGATTTTATTTGCAATCTGTCTTCTCATCTAAGAAGTAGTGTTTAAAAAGAGGAAATCTACATGTTATAGGACTTATACATTTTAATGGGTATTTCTATAAAAAGCAAAAAATCAAGCATAGAAGTATTTCCCAGAACAGGTTTTCTGTCTCCATTTGTTTCATTAATCTGCATTGACTTGTGATGTCATTGAGGTCTTGGAGAAAGAAATGATCTCTTATGACAGAACAGAGCAGAGAGATTACTCTATATGATTCATTCTCTGTGCTAATACAAACAGTTCTTTTCCAGGGCATCAGATTCAGCAAGGAGGTGTAATAGTCATTTAAAGTCAAGCAGCAGGGGAACTGTCTGAGTAATACCTGACATTACTTCTGTGCTGTGTGTCTGTGTGCAATGCCTGACATTACTTCTATGCTGCCAATCAGTGTAGCTTGCTATACTGAGAGAACAAAATAGAGATGGGAAGGAGCTTATTGCTGTCTCAAATGGGCATGGACACTAAGCCCTGGTTTTTCCTACTTCATATCAGGAAATACATTATTTTTATAACTGGGAAGCATTTATGTCAGCTTTATCCACTTGGTCTAACTTTATCTACAGAGTCAAACTTGTTCTCCACAGACTCTAGAAGGGGGCTGGATAGAAGCAAATTAAAAACGGAGCACTTTTTCTTGTCAAAATGTGATAGATAGCAAAGACGAGCAGCAGAGATCTGTGCAATAATCCTCTACAGGTTTGTAGACCAGTATAAACTAATTCTTCTGCTAAGTAATGCACAGCATGCACTGCCTGTTGCCCACATAAATTTCACACATCTCCTTAGATAATGCCTTTTTAACTCTTCAGAGTAATTTAAAACTTCTGTTTTCCCATAAAGTGAAATGTGTCGTGTGTATTGGTCAGCATACAGGATTTAGAAAAACCTGTATAGTTAATTCAAGCATTATATTTTAGAGACCCTTTTTTAAAATTATCAAGAGCTGTTACTTTGGAACTGTTTTATCTATTCCTTGTAACCTTTGTATTATATGAAAGCAGTACAGAATTGTCCAATCTGGTCATATGGAAACTGTCCCTGTTACCAATTTCTATGTTTTAGATTACAGATTAGCCCAGTGTTCTTTGGGGATGCTTCATGTCACTTCAACAAACTCAGAACATGTTCCAGTACAAAATCATGAAAGAGAAGGAGAACACAGGTAAATTTTTCAATTATATTGACATGATCAGTCATTTTTTAGGACTACCAAAGATTATTTATCTACTTAATTTAGTGAACAAAAAAGCTGCTTGAGGAGGAGGAGGAGTTTATATCTTTGTGATGAGTTTGCTTGACTTCCTAAAAAAAGCAAAAAGGGAAGGAATTTAATAAATTATTTGCTCCAGAAACCTGTTCATCACATTTGATGGAGTGTTATTGGCATTTATATGTTGTATTATACTGCAGTTTGATCTCAGACAGCACATACATGGATACTAAAAAAAAATTTATGTTGTTCTCAAGTTAATCACTACTGTTATTGAATGGTTTTAGTATTGCACAAAGATAGAAATTCTACTGTTCTGTGTACTCCAGGAATACGTACATAATTATGATACAAGAATTTTCAATTTAATAGAACAAAATTTTAAAATTAATAAAATATTTTCAATTTAAGAAATCATTTTATTTTCAATTCAAGAATTTTAAATTTAATAAGACAGAATTTTCAAATTAATAAAACAAACAAAAACTGGGAACCATGCGTATATTCCCTTTGTTTTTTCTTACAGTCTTATCATGTATCAAATCAGTTCAGGCAATGCATTTTTGTTTAAAGAGCAACTGCAGTGAAGATTGAGACTTAATAGTAATTTTTAATGGATTCTTCACTGTCAGTGTATGTGAAATTTTTTACAGATTTGAAGTCCTCAGTAAGGAAAAATATTAGACCTTGTTTTTTTGGATTGCTTAGCTAGAATGTGCTGCTTGATCACGTACTCCATATGGGGGACATATGTCTTTTTTCTTTAAGAATTAGAAGTCTAGGAATATTTGTCAAGATTATCACCGTTGCAATTAAGCAGCGCAGACTACTGAAGTCAGTGTGTTTGTTTGTTTGTTTGTTTTTGCCATGGACTTGGAGGTTTGGATCAAACCCTCTGTGCCATGAGATCATGTCCCTCCCAGTGGAAGCCGTAACACTTCTAAGCCGTAACACGGTGTAGAAACCATACACCTTGACCGTATTCTTCAGCAGGGACACCACTGTAGTGGTAAAGACAGCCCTGAATAAGGTTTGTAAAACTAGAATATAAGTGCATCGTATTTTCTGTATTAAAATGCAGTGTGTTCTTACGTAGTTCTCACTTTTATGAGGAGAGTATGAAATTTTCATCTAATCTGAGTTTGAAAGAAAAAAAAATTAATAAATGTACTAACTGCATGTTCACTGGCTAAAAATTTGGTTGTAGCAAGTTTCAAGAATTATACAAAAGCAATATGGAAAATTATTTTATAATATCATTCTAGCTTTAAAACCACACTTCCTTAACTTACCAAGTTTGGTTTTTTTTAATTTATGTGTTACAGTAATCACAAAGTCTAAAATTTGTTATTTCTAAAATTTCAGCAAAAATCTGTTTCTTAGTAGATTCTAACTGAATTTTAGACTTAATTTATTTATCATTACAAGTACATTAGCAACTATTTACTACAATATCACTTTCTAAGTGGTTGAAGTTACTGAAATATCTTTAGTGTCCCAGTCTGTAAAAGAAAAAGAATATTGAACATCATATTCATCCTAGCTGTGTGCTGCACAAGACCTAAGAACTTTAGGACATTAGTTTGTTTGCCATGAACGAATTCAGGCTCTCAAAGTGTATAAATAGTTGAGCAACAAGTTGATCCCTTGTTCTCAATGGCCTCATTTAAATTTCAGTCATCTTTTAGTCTCTCCACCTTTCCCTTTTTCTTCTTGTGTTATCTTTTCCCTTTGGAATCATCAGTTCTGTACTCACAAGCACAGAGGTAAACTTTTGAAAATACTTTTTAGACTATGTATTAGTTGTTTCCCTTCTGAGACATATTTCATATCTCAAACATAATGTACTTCTTAAAATGTAAAATATAAAAAGTTTGCTTTAATCTCTAATTCCCCATGGTACTATTTTTTAAAATTATAACAAATAGCATAATTTTTGGAGATCCACAAAGTAAATGGTTATATTGATAAGCAAATTTTTGAAGAAGTCTTAAGCAAAAAAGAGCAATTAACCCTTCACTTATTGCAATTTAACTTCCTACTCTATCATAATTGTGATATAAACACAATTCAGAGGATTATTTCATTCCAGCAGACAATGAAGCTTTACTGACAAGTTACATTTACCCACAATTTATGTGGAAGTTTGATCTGCTCATATGAATTAGTAAAGCAGAGAGTGCTAGCTCATGACTCCATTAAAATTCATGAATCTAGATAAATAGCATACTGCTGAATAGGCATAATAAGTATCCAGAATAATAATTTAGTTCAGATTAGGGGAAGTCATGCATACTTATCATCCTGGTTTTACCTGCTCCTTACAACCAGTGCAGGTTTATGGCTCCCTGAAAGACTGCTTTTAGGGACAACTTTTCATGCATTTAGTTTTTTGACTTTTCAGACAGCAGAAATTCTCCAGATCCCCAGTTTTGCCTGGGCCTTTATGAAATTCAAAGAAGGTCTCTAATCTTGAATGTGTTTTTGGACAGGTTGTCAAAATAAAAAATCTGATTTGTCATAAGGATCATCATAATGAAGGAAATTTAATAGCTTTTGGAGTTAACTACTTGTGAAATAGAAGTGTATCTGATGTGGAAGATGTTCTAAGAATAGTGTCACAATGGAAAACATTAACATGTTAGGCCATGATCTCAGAGGAACTTCAGTTATCTTCAGTTATATTGAAGTAACAGAAGCAGGAATTTTTACAAATACTGCTTGTGTGCAATGTATGAAATCAAAGGATCAAACAATTTAGTGTAAAATTTCTTCAAATTAGTGATTGTTTTAGAAAAAGTTGTAGCACATTGCCTTTGTAAGGCTAATAATTAATGTAACATTTCTATGCCCAGTAGTTAGCAGCAGCAGTAGTAGTAACGGCATTAGCATTTTCATACTTATGCTTTAATCTTTAATTTTTTTTCTCTATTTTTTTCCTCTGCTTTCTCATCTCAAGCTCAGTTCTTCATTGACTTGGTAAGTTTTTGACCCTGTAGTGCTCTTTGCAATGAGTACCATCAACTACTTGAGTGTTGCTGGGAATAAGTAATTGATTATTTTTAAATATGGACTATATTGCCTGGCTGCATTCATGATTTATGATTATTGAATGAGGAAGTAAAACTAAGCCTCCTTTTTCCTTTTACATACTACCATTTGATTGTTCTGAACAACTTATACTTCCTTTCTAGTTCAATTTCCCCAAAGGTCAATTCTCATTGGCATTTATATTCTACAGCCTTTTTTTCTGTGTCTCTAAGCAGGAAACATCTGTTTCCTGCCGTCAGAACTTCCTCATTTGTAATATATTCTAATATGCATTTTCTGTGATGCAGCAGCCAAACCTGGAGTTGAATGCTTAAGGGACAAGATGTTATTACTTTCATTAGCCACTTGGATTAGTTAATCACCTCCATCATTCCTCAGTTTTATATTCTGTCACTTGGTTTCCCTTGCCACTGTCCTTTCAAAATTATGCATCTAAATTAATCAGTAAACATATTTCTAATTCTCAGTATGGACACAGGATTTTAACTGCCAGCATTTTCTCAGAATGAAAATGAATAATAATATGAACCATTTGATCATTAGTACTATTTTAGCAGGTTGAATCCCTTGTTGTACTCAGAGCTGAGTTTAATCCCTATCAAAAAACTTTTGGGAGACCAAATATATTACTAGCTTACTCCTGAATGAATTTTCCCCTTGCAAAGAATTCCAGAGGACAGGGAAAGATACCTCCTTCCTTCTTGCAAAACCCTTTTGGATTAGACCTTATCTCAATTGACTGTTTGTGTCTTTACGATTCAGAATCACACTTTGTGCTTAGTTCAGCTTTTTGCCGTTCTGCCCAGTGTATTTCTGTGAGTGTAGGTGGGTGAATTTGGCCCTCTGCACTGAAGGGTGAGGTTCTGCCTGTAGGTATGAAACCGAGCTGAAGGTCTCTGGACTCACCACACACTGTGACTGTGGTGCACTGTTGCATCACGCAGCCCATGCTGTTCTTTTCAAATGTATTTCCTAGAGGAAAGAAGCTTTTCAGAATTTAGGTCATGTGAGGATCTTCTTTATTTTTGTGCTATGATGGGTGTAATCATTTTGGAATAAATGGCTTGGGTTCCTGAAGCATCTGTGTGTGTCTAGATATGCTTCATGTATTGGATTAAAATGATGGATGGTAATGTATACTTCATTTCTAGTAGTCACCGAATTCCACAATTGAAAACCTTGCCAGGGCACTTAATTTGAGGTGATGCATATATGGCACTACTTGGCATTGTTTTAGTTGTTCTAGCAAAACGGAGAACGTTTAATATAAATGTGATGTGTCTCCTCATGTCATTGAATGGACTGGGCTCTGGGCTGTGAATAGTCTGTTTTTCCTGTTGAAAGGAACAGAACTGCTGAAAAGCAGATATCTGAGCTATGCTTCATTCCTGGTTTTCTCAATACTGTAGGGTTGTGACACCTTATATTTTAGCATATTTCCCTATATTTCAAAACTAGGAATATGCACATAAGGTACCACAACTCATCTTCTCTTACCCAGCAAATGTAGTTTGTAAGAAATATCTCTCAGAAATTCCTTGTGAAATATTTTTCCATCTTAATTAATGCAGAAAGGGACATAGCCAATAACTCTCTATGCTCTAGTAATTCCTAGCTGCTGGAAATAAGGATACTGCCATAATTTAGTGCAGCCTCAGGGCTGTGCTGCCATATGCTAAAAGCTGAATTGGCCTTTTGGCAACTATTAAAATAAGATTATGAGATGCCATAGAGGCACTTTTGTCCCCTGTTCTGAGTAACTCATTTCTAGGGATGTACCCTTTTCCCGTGACCTAAGCATGGAACATATGGAATTTGTCCTGAGAGATGCAGCTAATTTTCATTCTTTTCTCTAGAATCTTGGCCAAGTATCAAAGGAGTCTCCTATCAGCTTCTTCATATGTATAGCCTTCTCATCCTCAGTCTAACCTCAGGCTCAGCCCCTCAGCTGACAACATGTGAAGCATGTAAGAGGAAACTCTCTCTTCTGAGCCAGCCTAAAGAGCTCTTCTACCTGTTTATTAAATAAAGTTCCACCAAATGCAACCATATGAAAATTTTTATAAAGACATGGCAAGTTAATACCACATAAGAATTTCCTCACAGGAATTTACTCTTCCATCACTTTCAGAACTGTTCTCTTTCCTTACCTATATTTAAAAATGTGTCATTTTAAGAGGGTTATGTTGAGTATTTTTGCATAGAAATAGAGCTTTTTCCATCATTTGTGCAGATTAAAGTGTATTTACAGTGTGCTAATAAAACAGAATCTATCTTTGCAAATCATTACACACAGAAGGAGTAACTTTCAAAGTTTATGGCTATTGGCAGTGTAGATGTGCTTGCAGCTATTCCCTCCCTCTGTTTTGAAATCCCTTTTGTTAGGTAAAACACAGATTTAGTGTTCTGAGCACACTTAACAGTTTACTCTCCCATCTGCAGTTATGTTTATCTTCTTAATCCTAGTAGGAGCTGCTGAATTCAGGTAGTGAGAAGATGTTGACTGCCTTGAGAGTAATTTTTGTCAAAAATGTGTCTTTTCCTAGAAGTTAAACTACAGTATTTAAATTGTTTTAAAGACACTGTTTTCAGATAGAGGTGGTTATATTGGACAAGACCATGACTTGTTTTACAGAGGAGTTGCAAAGAGGTCTCTATAACTGGTATGAGAGCAAGAAGGTGAACATCAGCTGCATGCTCAGAAAAATTGTCATTGCATGAAGAAATCCACCTGGAGTAAAGGGTTTCTGCAGTTTGGTTCTTGTCCTGGTTAAGAGCTCAGTCCTGAAGACTGAAACATGTTTGAGCTGTAGACACCTGGAAATACCCACAGCAGTATGAATGACAATGAATGACGGTGCTGAATTAGAACTTCTCTTGACACCCAGGATTCCTGGAAACCTTCACCCACGGGAGTCACAAAGCAGAAGAACCTAAAATGAGAATTTCTTTATTAAAGTTCAGCAGCTGTGATGTGTATAAGGTCACACAGGAGAAAAACAAGTGGGGAGACCAAATAATTCTTCTGCATTAGGATTGTGGACTCCTTGAAATTACTGGTCCTAGTCAACAGATTGCAGTTCAGATATTGTTATATATCCTGAAAACAGATTTTATGATACATGCACCTGATTATTTTTTCAGCCTAATCCCAGTTACTTTTTTTTTTTGCTATTTATCATTATTTCCTTTCAGGCTATCACTGGTGGCATCATCTTTTCATGACGCTATCATAGCTGTATAATTTTTAAACGTTAAAACATGAAAAAAAAAAAAAGAACAGTATGAAGCTCTGTAGCAATCTGTTCAGGGAAGAACTGTAAAAGGCCGCCCACAAAAAATATGCTAATGTAATTAAGTTTTATGAACACAGTATGTAAATTTAAATAGTGTCATGGAAAAAGCAGTACTTTGATCAGAGATACTACGGATTAATCCCTAAAAGTTTTTAAGGGAAATGAAAACTATTACAAAAGTTTACTGTTTACATAAGCATTAATATATTCAATAATATTGAATGCAGTGATGCAAATAAATTATTAAAGATGCAGTCACTGATATTGGTGAGGGAATTGGAAGTATGCCATTTTGTTAGTAGTTTTTCTAAGGTAAATTTTGCCATTAAAAGACAAATTATTATGAATTTGCGTACTGTGCCAAATACAAAAACACTTAATTATCAAACTCTTTCCTGAACTAGAGTTAAATTTTGAGTCTAAGTAACAAAGCCAGAGAATGACAGAAGGAGCAATAAATGGGCTGTGTGGAAAATATCTGGCGTCACCTCTCTCCCTAGAAAAACTGCTTGGTACCCCGAGTTACACCCATGGAAGTGCCAGCCTGATTGCAATTGGTTGCCTGGTTGAGTGACACTCAGTGGAGATGTAATGAAGTCTCCTTAGAGAAAACTAGTTAGGATCCTTCTACAAGTGGAACTGTTGGAAGGGCTTGAAGACAGTAATGTTCAATTAAGACAGTGTCTATTAAGGATATTACTGCTTTATGGAGGAGGGTATCAGGGGATTAGGACTGGCCTATATGTACCAGATTAACCTTGTGTGAACAACTGAGTTTTGAAAGCATGCTATTTTCAAAAGTTTTTCTGTTTTTGTTTTGCTATGATTATTTATTATGTGTTTTATATACCATTTCTTACCTAGAACATAGCTCACTGCATCTGAACTGGGGCCTTAAAGTCTTCACTCATCTGTATCTCAGATTGTGTTCTTAAATGTCTTTCCCTATTCCTTGCTTATACACAGGATGAATTTGCAGATAGCTGATCTGCTATTGATCCTGCTTGAAAATTAAATTATATTTTCAATTGTTGGCACACATAATAATTTATTTGCCCAGAAACTTGACATGGAATGACTTGATAAATACTCTTCAGTCTGATATTTCTTCTGCATTTTTTCTGGTAGTCTCTGGGAGGTGATAACATGAAGAGTACACAGCCTCTATCAAATATCTCCAAATGTAGAAACCAATACTCACTTACATGTTGGTGTTCTGGACTAACAGTGGTGCTTCACACTAGTACCATACTAGGAAAAGTGCAAATGTAGTATCAGAGAAGTTGCCATAGGAGCAGTAGCTGGATGAAAGCCTTTAGTCACTACTTGTAAAAGTAGCTTGACAGAAATTTTAAGATGTAGAAGGTAGCATCAAAGTCAAGGTATTTTGGTTGGAGTCCATCCTCCAACAAACCCACTGTAAATCTGCACTGTATCTATTCTGAGTCCTGCACATAATGAAAGAAATATGGAAGTTAAAGATACTAAGAAAGAAAGGAGATGAGAGTGCAATGGCATTTTTTTAACCTGAATTGTGGATTCTGAGGACTTTTTGTATCCAAAACTCTCTTACAATTAGGTACATGTGAAAGTAACTGAAATCAATACAATATCCTGAGACCCATGGGATAGTTTCTGTGGGGAGATGGGCAGATGTCATTTCATTCTGATATTTTAAGTCTAGAGAGCAAGACTTTTAATGAGCAGGATAAAAAGTGGAAAACCAGGCAACAAGCAGCCCTTCCCAGGAAAACAAAAACCCACCACAAAACCCCCAAGAAAATTACAAAGAAGGAAAACACCCAGTATTTCATAGGATTGAAACTCAGACTTCAGCCTGTATTTAGTGAGGGCTAGAATGTCATATTCTCCAAGAAAAGTTTACAGACCCCCCTAAACAGTCTTCTCTGCAGTGACTTCTGCTGGCCTGTGCTGGAGACAAGAATTCACTCCTGGTTCAGTATGGTAACTTACCAGACAGTTACAGAAAACTTGTCACACATCACATTTCTGTTCCCATTCTTCTTAGATAAATGCAATAAAAATAGAGTTCATGTTTTGATCCTCCTTTCTCCATTGTTAGCTTGATGAAATATTGTCACCAATGAAAATGTTTCTAAATTCTCATTGGTAAAACTGAATATAACAAACTTTGGCAGTGAGATAAAAAAAAAAAAAGTAGGATAGAATGAGGCATCTTGCTTACAAAGCAGTATGTTTTTATAAATTAAGCTTGTTTCCAGAGGTAATATACTGTTGCAGTAGATTTCTATGTACATGTTTCTTTCCTTTTTTGTAAATAAAAGGTGATTGTTAAGAAGTCAGACAACAACAACAAAAAATCTTTATTTTTCTGCTAAGCATGTGGTATATGGTGTATATAATACATAGTATACAGTACACACTTTGGGATTTTTTTTGCTCATAGCTGCAGGTGTACATGGAAATGAATATAAAATATTTGAAAACTCCAGTCACCATTTCTTCCTTCCTTGCATTTAACTTTTATTCTTCATAGACCTGTCTTCATGCAAGAAAGCAGCTTTTTCTAGTTATATCTTGCCTTGAACTAAAATAAATGGAAAATATGTTCCTGATAAAAAAATTAGAATTAATCTGTTATGCAGAGAACAATATATGCGGCACTTTACAAAGATGCAAGGCTTCAATCTTTTCAGTTCAATGTGCTACTAGGAATCTCACCAACATGCCTATGGTTTTTATTGTTTAATTGTTTTTTGATAAAACTTTTTAATTACTAAAATTCAAAACAACATTGAGTTTTCAAAGAAGAATGCTCCAAAACAAAAGTATTGGAATAAAAGTTGCATTTTAGAAGGAAAAAATATATTTTATCGGCTTTTCAAACCTTGGGATTAATTTTCTTTCCTGTACTTCTATGATTTTTTCCTCATTGTCTTCTCAATTACACAGCTTTCAGTGATAATACACAGTCTGGTCTAGCTGGAAGACAGTTCTCAGAGGAAGTCCTGCTTACCCAGTTCTTTAGGCAACAGCAAAATGTCTTCTCAGTGAATTGGAAGCATGCTTGAATAACATCTCCATTTATTAAGATGAACCTCAACATAAAATATCTTCACCTAAAAATCTCATTACCACACAAAAAGGCGAAATATACTAAGAAATGTATTCCTAGTTACTATGAGCAGTCAGAACTGGAGTCTGACCAGTCCTGTAAAGCTGTGTGAAATGACTTGGACCTTTCTGATTGCTATCTGTCCCCAGTGTAAAGACAGCACACAGACTAGAATATCTTCATCATTAGCCACTACCTTCCCTGTCCTTCCAGTAGGATTGACTGAAAATGGAAATGCGATATTTGGATGCATCAGGCTGATAGCTGTGGCATCTGAAGACCTTGATGCACAGTCCCTGCCAAGCTGAGGGGTTACAATCTTCAGAGCTGTGTCAAGGTAGGTACTCTCAGCCTGAGCTGTGTCTGGTAATGAGCATTGCCTTACATTCTAAGAAGCTCAGCTTGCAATAAATGTATTAATCCGTATGACCTGCGGCAATGTAAGTCAAAGAAGCAAAACGTGTTGCTGGAGCCTCAAAGGGCTAATTTTGCATTTTGTGTACAAAACAGCACAGATTAAAAGCATTGGAATGCATGCTTAAAGAACCCAAAGTGAAATTATGCCATATCATCAGTCATAAGTGACATAACTTGGAGTATTTAAAATGACATTACTAGGAGCTCACACTAAATCAATGGGTAAATTCAAACACTAAGCACATTCAAGAGGATCAGGATTTTTATGTAAATATACAGTGAGCTGAAAAACATGTTAACTTCATTCAATAAATTATTCATCGTTGCTAGTTTTTTCAGCTCTAAAGCTAAACAACCAGAAATTATTTTTCAAACCCCCATCTGAAAGCCAGATCAGAAAAGCCTTTCCCAATAGGACATTCAATCTTTTAAAATAAAAAATTAAACCAAACCAACCAGCCAAACAGCTCCCAACCAACAAAGTAACAAAAAACCTCAAACCATATAGTCAGCATTATTAGCATTCATTATTGCTGAATGGACTAATGTCCTAAAAATACTTTAAAAATAAATGTGACTGTCTTTTAGCTGGAGTGGAAGAGTTATCTCTACTGTTACAGATTGCACAAAAGAACATCATTCAATGATTAGAAACACAGTAGCACATGTGATATTTGCTTTGTCTTCTCTGCTATAAAACTTGGGTGTGAGCACCACTAATGCAGTTGCTAAAGCATGTACTGTTATATTAGATTTTAAAATAATGTGTGCAGGTGAATAATTAAATTATATGAAACACATTTATTTAAAATGCCATTTAGTAGTGTAACATCACTACTAAAAAAGGAGGGGGGGAAGGAAAAGCAGAAAAAGAAGCTCATGGTGCAACATGCTAACATTTATCAGGTGTGATGACAAGAATACTCAACAGCATTTCTATAAATCAACTGAGCCACTCTGTTTTTGAATGATAGGATAGCAAGACACTCTGTTTAAGGTACAACACAAGCAATGCTGTAGCGGGCCCTTGTGGAGTCACAGTACTTATAGCAGAGCTGCCATTTCCACAGCATAGTTTGCTGTTCATGATGTAGATTGGGGTTCTTTAAAGTTCTCAGCAGTTTTGAAGTCCAACATGCAACTGACCAGGTCACACATGTGAGGAAGATTTGTTAGTCATTGCTGCAATAGGGCAAAAACTAAATACACATTAATGCACAATTAGTTAAACAGCTTAAGTGTCCACACACTAATATTGAAATTTAGAGTAAAAAATCCAGAAGAACATCAACACAAAAAAATATGTTCCTTAAAACCAGTGTGCTAGTCCCTGTAAAAACAATAAGACTTTGGGAATACCTACAGGAGAGGAATTTTATTTCCTTGTTCTATGTCACAAGGGTAGCAAGAGGATAGCACTTGTCTCCTGGCAAGGGCAGATCACTGCTAATTCGACTGTTTACTGCTATATTCTCTTTCTTCTTTTCACTGCTTTAGAAAGACAATGCTTTTTCCCAGCAAAAATGCAATAATAGCATAGTGCATTTATTCAATAAAATGGCAAGAAAGACACAGGGGTTGGGATTTGAACCTGCTGAAATTATTCTGCCCCTTCCTGAACATTCCAGTCACCCTGTGTTCCAGGAAACATTACTTGTAAAATCACAACCTAGCTGCCTACTCAGAGAGGCTGGAAAACAGCCAAAAAGCAATGTGGTAGCAAAAGCCCTCCTTCAAGGAAGGAAAACAAGGAAGACGGAAGGAAGAGGAACAGAGACATTTTATATGAAAGTGAAGCATGCATTTAAGCATGCATTTAAGATGTAATTGTGAGGTTTTGGACAGGCTGGTGCATTAGAGAGGAAAAAAGTGAACTGACAGGTGTGTGCTAGCAAAGCAGACTACCAGCAGTGCCATGAAGAAATATAGTGGTCTTGTCTGCTTTAGTACTTGGGCATTTGACTTCTTGCAGGCTAATGACTTTCAGCTCTTCGCTGGCTCCTTGTGCTTTGTGTCAGCTGTGCTCGTGTCTTGCCCTAGTGTTAAATTTATAAGTGCTATTTGCAAGCACGCTGACAAACAGAAAAGTCCTGCTTGGCTTCAAGGTATGCACTAAAAATGAAAGTTTGATTCCGTAGTTCTTATTCATGGTACAAATTCTCCATGCATATAGAGAGCATATATTTTTAAAGTACTTATTTATAATTAATTAGAAAGATTATTGAGTAGAAGGTGCTACAAAATTTGATTGCAGGCTTAAATACAGTAAGAAAAGTTTGAAATCTTGCATCTAAGCTTCAATTTTAAATCCATAAGGCTCTGTAACTCTAGTAGGGGCAAAATATTAATGAGTTCAGTTATAACCATGTTTATTTATTCCATCTGTGATCCTATTCAATAGTTCCTGTGAAACAAGACAAACTGTAAAGCAGTAGTAATATTAGCTTTCTTTTTCTTGCTGTCTTAATTTCTTTTTCTGAATAGTAAGTAAAAATCTGTAAGCATATACCTCAGTAGGTATAATTTTCCTTTTTTTCTTGTGTATTTTTTTGGCTCTTGAAATTTTTAAGCCAAAGTTCAGAAAACAGTAGAACATTTCTAGTATCCAATTGTGATACTGTCTTTGCAGCAATGACACAACTATCAGGAGTTCAGAATGGAAGATTTCTCTTTTCAGCTATAATTTGCTCATAGTGGATATTAAATGTATGTATATATGTACTGTTAACCATTTAAAAGTAAATCCTACTTATTGTTATAGTTTTCAGATGTTTGAAAGAGATCAGGAAATTTTTTATCTTGTTTTGATAATTTCTTTTTAAGCAGATAAAAGACAAAAAACTCAATACCAGAATCCACACCTCAGTTGGATTCCTGCTAGCTGGCAAGACTTTTAATGTAATTCTTACATTAAAATCCCCCACTCAGCCAGAACATAAATGTATAAATAAGTTAATAATTTACAATTGCTTAGCTGTTTCAATTCAATAGATCAACAAGAATACCAAATCATCAGCAGCATTATTCAAGATTGCATTAGGGCCTTTGGTCCTCCAAAAATGCATATACCACTGTCCTTGCACAAAGTCTGGGACACTCATGGAAAAAGATATTTAGAAAATCAGCTTTACAATGGCATTTTCATTTGTGAAAAATTCACCCTCCTTTTTCATCTCGCTTTTCTCCTTTTGAACTGCATTTAGTTTGGACTCCATACAGAGAGGCAACGTTGACCTTTAATGAAGAAAGCTGAACCTAAATGTTCATAATTAAGCTGCAGAATGGCAGTTTTCCTCTGAGGATGTTAAGGAACAATTTGTTACTTAACAACGTGGGTATTGACTGTATTTAGGTGTTTAGGTGCTTAGTTGAGAACAATGACATGAGCCGCATGTTTTGCTTCTTGCCTTGTGCTAATGCTATCTAATAGCTTCTGAAAAAAAAATCTTACTCTACTAAATAGAAAAGTTCTCTATCGACAGCATTCATGTTGTTAATATCTAGCCTTTGAGACCTGAGGAATAAATCCAGCAGGAGTTTAAAATGCAAAGCATGAGCAAGCATGCAAAGAAAATGCTTTCTTGCATGGTGGTCCCAAGGCACTCAATTTCTTTAAGGGGAAAAATAAAAGGGAAGGGACAGATTTTGTCAGGGATAGTTTTTACTGGCTAGGAAAGTTTGTGCAGTTAAACTTTAGCAAGGATTTTCCAAGTCTAACAGTGAGTCTAGCTATTTTATTATTGTACCTATATTTCTATTCCATGTGTGCAGGTGTCAGTGTTCTGTTGTTGGATTTGGAGCCAAAAAACTGTGGTGGGAAGACAGAGTTCCCAAAAGTCCAGTTTTGCTTTGATTTGTGTCCTGTTCTGAGACTGTGTTTACAAAATTGGGTCAGGACTATTACCAGTGGAAAAAAAAAGGAACACCTCACTGTTTGTTACTTAGAATTATATCACTCCAAATTTTGCCTACTGCTTCTCTAAATTTGCCATGAAGTTTAACTTTCTTTAATGAACAGTAATTAAAATCCAAACTATATGTATTTATGGTACATTTTAATCTGTCTAAATTTAGATTGGAATCTACAGCAGCCTCAGAAAATGTGCAAATAAGAACACATCAGGAGCTGGAGAGGGAAAGCAAAAGAGCCTATTTATCATGTGCCTGCAATCACTGCTGAGTGATGTATAGTAATTACATTTATTTTTTTTAATTGTCAAGCTTCTGACACTGCAAGGAAAATTGG